TGGTAATAATAATATAACATTTATAATAATAACTGAATAATATAACATTTCATTCCTCAGTACTTTCTCAAATGAACTATGGTGTTGTTGGCCAGAAAGACAAGGACAAGATAAACAAGTTACTAATACTATCAATGGCAATAATCAGCAATAGAAAAAAAAATCCTCAATTATACAAAGAATATAAATACTATTTACAATACAATGTCAGAATGTCAAAATTAACTAAATATAACTCAAAATATCTTGTCTCCCATAAAAAGGAAATACAGAAACCATTTTAAGAGTATTGCAGATAAAAAGACAATATTTAAAAAGTACTGTAGCAAGATGAACTCTTAAGCACCAATAAGTAGTTTAGCCTAATAAATTAAGGCTCTCAGAAGAATTGATAGAGATAGGCCAAAATTGTTCAGATTTTCCAAAAGATAGAAGGTAAATTCTACAAATTAAATTTTGATATCAAAATCCAAAAAGTTCTAGGTAAAGTAAATCTAGTCTTCATTATGTCCTTGCAACTAATTTGGTGAACAAGGAAACAGTGTCAAACTGACCTGAGTTCAATTCCTTATCCTGCTTCTTGAGAATTACAAGAACTTGACAAATTACTTAGCGCACGAACCTGCCTCTCCCTCCTTCCTCCGCCTCAGTAAAACAAAGATAATACTACCTACCTTAAGGATTGATTTCTCAGGCAAATGAGGAGAGATCACTAAGAGCAAGCTCAAGGGGTATTTCTGACCCTGTCTTATTCTACACTTTATAAATGACTTGAATGTAGACACAGAAATTAAGATTATTAAACCTACAGATGAAACAAAACTGGAAGAGAAAACTATTTTGTTCCTAACATGAAGAAACTAAGACCTTCAACAAGTAGCAGACATGCCCTGACCTAAAAAGAATGAATTATAAAGGGGTAGGTCATGCATTTAGGTTCAAAAAAACAATTGCCCAATACTCAGAATGGGGGTGGAAGAGCTTATTTTAAAACATGAGAGCTGGGCACAGTGGTGCATACCTGTAATCCCAGCAATTTAGTAAGACCCCTTTTCAAAATAGAAAATAAAAAGGAGTGGGGATATAGCTCAGTGGGTTCAATCCCCAGTACTCCACAAACACACACACACACATGCACACACACACAAGAATGTTACAGTTTTGTTTGCAAACAACATATGAGCCAAGAGTGTGATTTATTGCAGGAAAAAAAGCTAAAACAATTTTAACCTATATTAATAATGGTAGTGTCCAGATCAAGGAAATAATAGTTCAAGTACATTCTTTTCTGATCATCATGTTCCACCACTGTAGACACCTTTTAGAAGAAAGGTTGACAAAAGTATTTCCAAAGGAAGATAACCTCTGAAATACTGAATATGTGATAAATTGGAGATGTTTACTTGCATATTTGAAAATCTGAAGGGATCTGGAACCTGTCTTCAAATATTGGAGAAGCTATCATATAGAAAAGAAATTCTATGCAGTTCTATGCAGCTTTAAACAGCAGAAATAATACCTATGTGTAAAAGTTACATGGAAACTCCATGTAAAAAAGACCTTTTGTACAGAGCTGTGTGACACTAAAATGGGCTAGCTATAGGGTGACGCACCATTGCAATAATTTGGATACTGAATGTCCCCCAAAGGTCCACATGTTAAAAGGCTTGGTCCCCAGGATGGCTCTATTGGGAGATGTTGTGGACCTGGAGGAGGTAGGATCACATTAGGTTATTGGGGATGCGCCCTTAAAGGGAAATGTGGGACCCAAATGACCTCCTCTCTCTTTGCTTCCTGGCTAGAGAAGAGAGCAGTTTTGCTCTGTCCAACATTCTTGCCATGATGTGCTGCCTCACCACAGGCCAAAACAGTGGAGTCAGTGGATCATGGACTGGAATTGCCGAAACTGTGAGCCAAAAATGAATCTTTTCTCTTGCTAAGTTAATTATCTCAGGCATTTTTTATAGTGATGGAAAGCTGCCTAATACAACCCTCTATTTCCTGAGCATTCAAATAGACAGTAGGCTCATGGTCAACAAAATGTGTTGAGCAGATGATCATGATGAAGTCCCAGCCACTCATGAAGCTGAGCTGAGAGGGTGGCTTAAGCCCCAGAGTTCAAGACCAGCCTAGGTAACATAGTGAAAATCGATATCTCTCTCTCTCTCTCTCTCTCTCTCTCTCTCTCTCTCTCTCTCTCTCTCACCAGGAATTGAACAGGGCACTTAACAACTGAGCCACATATCCAGCCCTTTAAATTTTTTATTTTGAGACACATTCTCAGTAGGGTGCTTACAACCTTGCTAAATTGCTGAACCTGCAATCCTTCTGCCTCAGCCTCCCAGATAGCTGGGATTACAAGTGTGTGCCACCACACCCAATGTGAGAACTCATCTTAAAAAAAAGCTTACTGAGTGACAGGAGGTGTGCAAAGCACAGATGATGATGAGTAAATGATCAGCACAATCTCTTCTACTCTCATGGAAGGTAAAGTCTACTGTGCAAGGCAAATAATAACACTAATACATTTTAAATGAGAAAGATAAATCCCTAAGGAAGGAACACAGTTTTTCAAGCGTATGTAACAAAAGATCCTAACTTACAGTGTGAGGTCAGGTTTCCCCTGCGTGATCTCTGAGTGAGAGGCAAATGGTTAAGGGCAGAACATTACAAAGAAAGGAAAAAGCACAAGCAAAGACCTGTGGAAAGAGAAACTACTGTAGGTTCAAGGAATTGAAAGGCTTATATAACCTGAGCACAGACAGTAAAGAAGTGAATGGAAAGAAGCAGGGGGAAAACCACAAAGAGCCTTGAAGGCCTTGTTAAGTATTTGATCTTCTCCCAAAAGTAATGGGATGCTACTGAGGAGGAATTTAAGTACCAATTGGCACAGAAAGGAACCATCAATGTGGAGAATGAATTGGAAGTCAGCCAGAATGTCAAAAGGAGACCACTCAGGAGCTTCCTGCAGTAGTCCATACCAGAAAGGAGAGGAGTTTGGAAAAAGAAGTCAGTAATTAAAATGTAGAAAGGTGCACTTATTGGAGAGAGTTTGGGGAAGTTAAATGATAGAAAATGGGTGACCAGGCCAGGGGGTGATTTCAGTGGTTGGGTATGGTTTAAAGCAACAATGTTCCTGATTTTTTGGCCCTAATTAAATACCTTTTTTGTTGGGGAGGCATAATTAATTCAGTAATTATTTTACTGAGAATGCAGAGGAGGATATAGATAAAAGGTATAAAAGGTGGACCACACTCCCCACCCCCATTTTGCAGATTACATAACTGGATGGATGGCAGTACCATTCAATGAAGTAGGAAATAGGAAGATAACAAGTTAGGTGGGCTAAGACCTTGGATTCAGATTTGAGCAAGCTGAATTTCAGTGGCCTTGGTTTTAAATAGGCAATCTAACATATTATTTTAGAGCTTAAAGGACAGGTCTAGACTAGGAATAAAATATTGAGAATCACTGACATGTAGATAGTTGTAGCTATGGGTCTAGAAGGGATTATCTAAGGAGAAAACAGAGAGTGAGAAGAAGGCCTTTGAGGAATAATAGTATTGAATAACTGGGTAGAGGAGGGTGAGTCTGCAAGAGAGAGTATGAATCAAAACAGAAACAAGGCATCAGAGAAGCCATGGAAAGAGTGTCTTCCATTAAAGAGGCAATGGTCAACAATCCCAAGTACATATAGGAGGATTGAAAAATATCAATTAAGGTTAGGGACACGTTTCAGTGGAATGACAGAGCCAGAATTCAGAATGCAGTGTTTTGAGAAGTGAGCTAGTTGTAAGTAAATGGGAGACAATAAATACAGAGTCTATCCAAATTTCTAGCTGTAAAATAGGAAGAAAAGGTGACTGGTGTGCAGGTGGAAGGAGAAGCCTGAGTAGGTTAAGAAGAAGTGATTATTCAGGAGAAAGGTTCGGGAGGAGGGAAAAAATGGAATCTGAAATACAGGTCCAGGGACCAGCCTTAGAAAAAAGGAGAGGTGATGAAGAAAAGGAAGTGAAAGAGGCTGAATTAGATGACCTTTAAGATCTCTTCTGACTCTAGAATCTCATGACTTACAATTCCCTTTAGGCAGGACATCTGCATATATGCATAAATTTATGCAAACTTATTTAAATATTCTGGTATAAATGAATCAGTCAAGCACATCTTTAGCCCCTAATGACGCAGTTAATGTCCCCAGGTTTATGACCAGTGTAATCTCTGGGCAGGATCCATCCCTCAGAGAGCTTTTAGCTCTCTGCACACTGCAATACAGCACTGGACGGGCCCTATCTTTCCTCACCAAACCCATCCTACACCGCGATTGTGGACGCTAAAGGAGGAAGTAAAATTTAAAACCCTCAAACTATAACATATCTTGCAGTGTTCGGACCAGCTGTCATTTATAAAAACAAAACGCGACACCCCAAATCCATCTCCTTTCCAAGCTAATGCCATTCCTGCCTGACTCCACAGTTGACAGGTCCCCCAGATGGCCGGGGGTTAACCCGAAAACTCATTCGCACCCCATCGTTCGTACGATCTTTTATTCGTGAAGAACCAGAATGTGGTTCCTGAGGGATCCTTCCCCTGGCCCCACTGCAGCAGACGGACTCCCCGCAGTCATTCTGGCGGCGCCACCTAATAAGCCCTCCACGGGAGTGCGGAGGAACCCCCAGAGCCCGGAGTCGGAGGGGCTTGGGAGACAAGAGCCGGAGGCTACCTGGACGACCAGGGAACCGAGACCCAGGGGAGGAAGAGGGAAGATTAAGGAAGGCGCAGGAGACCAGGAAACGAGGGTCACCCTCCAGGGGATGGAGTTTCTGAGGACGGCTAATCCCCTGCCACCGGCCCCCCTCTCGCCTCAAGCGCTGCTCCGTACCCACGCTCCTCCAGCGCCCCATGGCTCAGTTTCATTCCCCCTCCCCGGGCCGCCTGGACCTCGGAGTGCCCGCGAGCCCGGCGCCCCCGACTCGAGCCGGGGCTTCCCGGCCGGCACTCACCCGGCCCGCCATCTTCGCGGACACGTCCGGCTCCGCGGCTGCAGCTGGGTGCTCGACAGAACCCGCCCCCGCGGCGCGCGCGCGTCCCCGCCGCCCGCCCTCACGCAAGCGCGCAGCCGCCGTGAGCCCGCGCGCGTCCCCGGCCTAGTCCCCGACGCCCCTCCCCGCTAGGCGCGCGCCGGCTCGCCGACGCCATCTTGAAAGCGAGCTGTCTGTGGGCTGCGTTCTCGCGGGTTGCTTTTGCGAAGCTCCTCGGTGCTGGCTGTGTTCGCCTGAACTTGTTGCAAGGCCTCTGATGCTGTTAATCGCTTACCTGTTTGCCAACTACAGTTCTCCTTTTAGTGACCTTTTCACTTTAGGCTTCCAGGCCCACTTAAATGTCAGTGTCCCGAGTGAGAAATTGGTTCTGAATTCTAATTCTGAAGAGTCCTGGTTTTTCTTTATAGGTGTACTGGTCGTCCTACTTCCTGGAAATTGTCAACGTTGACATTTTTATTTAGCTTAGGAAAGCCTGGAAAACTCGTACTTTCTTCAAATTTGAAAGTAAATCGATATTATTTTATGAATTTGTTAACTTTATGATTAAATCTATTTATTTATAAAGGCATTTATTTCCCAGTGTTATTTTATTGTAGGCTACGTGGTGAATAAAATATGCCCTAAATTCACTTTTTTTTTTTTTTTTTTTAACCTCAAGGCTGTCTTCCTACCATAATGTTTCTTCACTGGAATCTCAGAAGAGCCCCCTACGAGAGGATGATACGAGTGAATTCTCTGATGCCTGTACTGCACCAGCTAGCTTATATTTCTTTTCATATTTGCACAGGACAATAAGGAACAATAAGATTTATTTTTTATTTCTCACAGTTAATTAAGGGGGGGAGGGGGAATTTGTTTTTCCCAAAACAAGGAAGAGAAGGAGAAAATTAAAGAGAGCTAAGCACATTTAGTGATTTAAAATGAGGAGCTGAAGATGGCCTAGGGACGCAAGAATTCATTCCAGTTTCATAAACTTTCACACTGAATGGGAGAATCATGGTACTTTGTTGGACAGATCAGATATTAACTAAATAATGGGTGAATCAGAGGGGTTATCAGGAAGAATGGGAAACCAGTCCAATTCTCATCTATTAGCTTACAAAAGCTATAAAAACAACTAGAGTGGGTTGGGGATGTGGCTCAATGTTGAAGTGTTTGCCTAGGATGCCTGAAGCCCTGGGTTCAATCCCCACATAACAACAACAAAAAAAACTAGAAGGCAATGGAAATAATCATGAGGCTTAGATCTTTGTCCTTATCTGGAGCTCACCTACAATGTCCCTTCCCAATTCCAAGTCCTAGTTTCCCTATTTGTAAAGTGAGAGGAATAATTAGATAAGCTTGATGGTTGCGTCTTAAATTTTTGGTACTTTGAATTTGAACTGTTAAGTCTAAGAGATTTTTGCCCAAAGAATCACCAGATCCAGAAAAAACATGGCTCTCAGTCCAATTGGCTCTCAGGTCAGAGAATAATGCAAACATATTTACCTATACTACTGGTTTGTTTGTCTGACTTTAGTAGGTAAGTAGATTGCAAGCAGGAATGTCCTCAATCTCTCCAACAAGGAGGAATGTTTATCATCCTGTAAAGATAGGCCTGCTGAAGAGGTTCCAGTGTGACAGCTTATGCTCTTATCTATCCATGGTAAGAAGCCCTTTGTATCTTCCCCCAAATGGTAAAAATTAAATAGAATCACATTAACAGTCTTGCAGGATCTACCAAATAAATTGCAAGCAGGTATAGCACTTGTCCTTAAGGTGCTTAGCCTCCAGCAGGAGGTGAAGGACTCAGAGACCTTGTTCCAGATTGTCCATGTGTCTCTGCAGCCCATCTGTGCCTTGCTCTGACATTCAAGGTCTTATTAGAAACAGAGTGGAGCTAATTCTGCATCTACCTTCTGAACAGTCCTTGCAGTGAGAGTTGATAGGTAACAAATATTTTTGTTCCCTCCTTTTCTGGTAACAACTCTCCCAATTCATTCACTCTTGTCAGAGTAGAAACCCTTTTCTTCCCTGGCTAGCAATGAGGACAGAACCATGACTCATCAGTCAGATGCTCTCTCCCCCAAACTGTAGTCTCAACTCTCCTTGAGGAAGATAGAAATATCCAGAGCATATATACTGCCAGGGTGACACCCCAAAGAGATACCCTCTGGTTTTCTAGATCCCAGGAGCTCATTTCTTCTTCTGCAAAATCTGGTGTTGTCCCTCTTTGTTTTGATTTCTGTAAGTTACTCACTTTCCTTCCCTTCCCCAAAAAACAAAAACACAGGGTCAGGATTTTGGCTCATGAGGCACTGGGTTTGAAAAAACCACAAAGGTACTTTCCTTACAGTGAAAAGATAGGTAAGCCTCCTAACAACGATTTTCAATTTAACCTAAAGTATTAAATGACTAACATTTTCTAGAGGCTGGAGGGCTTTTGGAGGGGACAAAAGATAGACTAGGGATAGGAACGTACCTGAAAGGTGGGAAGAGAAGATGATATAATAATGAAAAAGAAGAGTGAAGCGTCAGGGCAGGAGCAGGGTTTGATGGAGGCCTTTTGTGACCCAGTATGATGATAAAATTTATATGTCAACTTGGTTGAGCCCATGGTATCCAAATACTTGATTAAATATTTTTCTGGCCATTTCCATAAGGGTGTTTTGAAATGAGGTTTATATTTAAATCTGTGGACTTTGAGTAAAGAAGATTGCTTTCCATATGTTGTTGAGCCTCATCTAATCAGCAGAAGGCCTGAATAGAACAAAAGGCTAATCTCATCCAGACCAAGAGAGAATTCTCTAGCAGATTACCCTTGGACTAGATCTTCAACTTTTCCCTCCGTCTTCAGTTTGCCAATCTCCTCTATCAGGTTTTGGACTTACCAAGCCTTCACAATCACACAAATCAATTCCTTAAAACAAATCGCTTCCTATATATTTACACATCCTACTGGTTCTCTTCCTTTGGAGAACCCTGACAAATATTCTCAGTCTCCTGTCAGTGAGAGACATGGAGTGATTCCAGGCTTTTACACAGTGAAACTTTATATTCCCTTGTTACTATTTGACAAATAATCAACATTTAAAGATTTGATGACAGTGCATGGATAGAATTTTATGTTCAAATTATGTCCCAGCACATTGCCTAATAAGTGCTCCATTGGACTAGGGCTGAGTAACATTTTGGTTACATAGAAATTTTGGTTGTAACAACTGTGGTAACAGAATTTAACTGAGAGGAAATAAATTTTGCCTGTGTAAATTGAGGAGTGAGGACAATATTAACATAAAAATGAGCTGACTCACTGTAATGCACTTTATTTAACAAAGCAGTACTTTGTTTTTGGTGCTTTCCATATTAACTGAAAGAGAACTACCTGAGGTCTGTGAGAACTACAGGGTTAAATAAATGGTTTGGGGACGGATAGTTTTCAGTCACTGCAGGACATGCATTTCAAAGGTAGTTCAGCAGGATGGTAGGCAGATGTTTCAGGGAACAGTCCTATTCACCACTGCATTGTAACTGTCAGAAGGCATCTGCAATGTGTGTGTGTGTGTGTGTGTGTGTGTGTGTGTGTGTGTGTGTGTGAGTGAGGGGGGGGGGGGGGGGGGGGGGAGGGGGGGAGGGAGGGAGGGAGGGAGGGAGGGAAAGGGAGGAGGATCTGCACTGACTCTTTACAGAAGATATTATTGTGAGACAAAAATGGTTTTCATGCTGGGCATGATGGTGCATGCCCTAATCCTAGCAGCTCAGGAGGCTGAGACAGGAGGATTGTGAGTTCAAAGCCAGTCTCAGCAAGGGCAAGGCAAAGCAAATCTATGAGACCCTATCTCTAAATAAAATACAAAATAGGGCTGGGGATGTTGGCTCAGTGGTTAAATGCTTCTGAGTTCAATTCCCAGTACAAAAAAAAAAAAAAAAAAGAGTCTTCATGTTTTCTTGTATTAGTAACCTAATGAAGTAGTCCTCCCAGGAGTAGTTGCAATTTAAGAGAATATTACTGGGAAAACAACGGCTACCCTAAGGAAACAAAGCTATAATGGCAAAATTTCAGAGACTGATATTGCATAGGAAGCCATCTGTAGATAGTCTTATTCTTTTTTTTTTTTTTTTCCTTATATCAGGGATTGAACATTGAACCCAGGGACTTTCTACCAAGGAGCTTCATCCCCAGTCTTCTTATTTCTTATCTTGAGATATGGTTTCACTAAAATTGCCCATGCTGGCCTCAAACTTGCGATCCTCCTGTCTCAGACTTCCCAGTCACTGGGGTTGTAGGTGCATGTTACCATGCCCAGCAAGAGCCTTATTCTTCCACCTCCAATGCTAGCCTTCAGGGCAGCTACCGTGCCAGGGCAGCATGCCTTATGATCTCTTAATTTTATAGCCTCACACAATCAGGTTTAGGATGATAGTGTTGCCATATGTTTGTTTTCTGTCAGAAAAAGCTATTCCCCAAAATGATGGGTAAGTCAGAGAAGAGAACAAAATGGAGAAAGGATATGGAATTTTGAAAGAAGCAGGATCAGCTGATGCAGTGCAGCATCTAGCTGCAGTCGGGTTTTTGTTTGTTTTAAATGTAGGTGTTTTTTTTTTCCCCCTCTTTGCAGGATCAAAGACAAACACCCTATAGTCACGAAAATCAATTCATTCTGGAAAGCCTGAGTGGGAAGGAGAAATGATAGGATCCTCTGTGGAAGGGAAGGAATGTTGCTATGGAAACCAGATGATCCTTTAGTGCCAGCCCTAATGTAATGCATTTGCCAGGCTGACTAACCCGGCATGTTCACATCGTGGGGCCGGAAAGCTGCCAGCTGCCTGAATCCCTTTGGAAAGGGAGTTTTCCCATATTGGTCTGATGAGCTTTTCTGCATCTTGAGAAAATGAAGTCAGAGTCTCCTGGGAGGGCTGAGTTGCCTAGAACCTAAAGATGCTAGAAGCCTTCAAGTCATTGCTGATTGGGGTGATGACACTGACTGCTAGGTGTATCTTTCAGTTTCTCCTAAAGGTAGATAAGTTTCTTAGAGGGCTGTTTCTAAGGTAAAGGATATGTACAGAATGGCTTCTCAAAAGAGAGGGATGGCAGTCCCTGAGTGGAAGTTTGACCGGACTAGAGGAATAGACTTACTGATATCTGGAGGTAGGTAGTCTGGGTATAATCTTGTTTTCTGGTGCTGGGGGTTGAACCCAGGACCTCCTGCATACTAGGCACATGCTCTGCCACCAAACTACACCCCTATCTGACTTTTAAAGCCCCTAAACTTCAGTGTTTTATATGAGAATTGGTTATCATAGAGTACTTACACATTCTGCAGCTGATCCAGCAGATACACAGTAAATACTTATTACCACACCATTGCTACTATTACTACAATTAATCCCAATAACACTATTAACCAATTTTAAAGCTTGACATAGGGCTAGGGCTGGGGCTGAGGCTCAACAGTAGAGCGCTTACCTAACACATGTGAGGCACTGGGTTAGATCCACCACATAAAAATAAATAACTAAAAAAAAAAAAAAAGGTATTGTGTCCAACTACAATTAAAAAAAAAAAAAAAACAAACCGTGACACAGAGTGGGGAGCTTCCTCCAAATAAGATTCTTAGCATGAGGGCTGGGGATGTGGCTCAAGCGGTAGCGCGCTCGCCTGGCATGTGTACGGCCCGGGTTTGATCCTCAGCACCACATACCAACAAAGATGTTGTGTCCGCCAAGAACTAAAAAATAAATATTAAAAATTCTCTCTCTCTCTCTCCTCTCCCACTCTCTCTTAAAAAAAAAAAAAAAAGATTCTTAGCATGAAATTCTCCCCCTGCTTTCCCAAGAGCACTTTGTTCTTTACATGCTTTGCAATTAATGTAATATTGACAAGAAATGTCTTCTATTATGGAACCCCTCCCTACTAAATCAATGCTTAATGAGTCACAGCAGTTTGAGATTGATAAAATTCCCCTGAATAGCCACTGTGATTTTAGTTAAACCTCTTTTTAATCAGTTTTTTATCTAATCTTCTTTTATTTCTATGGTTCTGGGTATGGAACCCAGGGCCTCACACATCTCAGACAAGTTGTTCTACCACTGAACCATGTCCTTGGTGTCCCCCCTTCTTTTTAATGAGTTTTCTATTATAAAATTAGTGTACTGTTTTCTCTCAAATGCTTTTTAATAACCACTCTTCCTCCTCAATATAATCACTTGTAAATTAGGCCTATTTTCTTCTAGCCTTTCCTCACCATCCATCATCCATGCATATCTTCATGAAACTATATACAATATTGCCATAGTTTGGGTCTAGAATGTCCCTTAAAGGGTGATATGTTAAAGGCTTGGTCCCCAGTGTGTGGTGCTATTGGGAGATGGTGGACTCTTTAAGAGGTGGGGCCTATGGGAAGTTCAAGATCATTGTGGGTATGCTCTTCAAAGCGCTAGCAGGACCCCAGTTTCTTCCTTGCTTGCTCATTCTCTTTCTCTTTGCTCCTGCCAAGAAGTGAACTGGCTTCTTTGGTCACATACTCCTGCCATGATATATTGTGCTGCCACAGGCCCAAAGCAGCAGGGCCAATCTTCCATTGACTGAAAGCTCCAAAACCATGAGCCAAAGTAAACCATTCCTCTTTTTAAGTTGATTATTGCAGATATTTTGTTATACTAATGCAAAAGTGACCAACACAAATATACGTGTATAAAAGTTATACATTATTGTGTGTATGTTCATCTGATTGTAATTATTCCACACCCAAATGTGACATAGTCAGGGACTTTGTTTTATTCAGGCTTACTGCAGAACTTGGGAAAATAATGAGTATTCTCAGGTTGTCAGGGGTAAATTTCCATCACTATCCACTCCAAAATTCTTTCTGTAGATACAAACAATGGTAGGTAAAAATCTTCCCTCTACTATTTCAGCTTCTTTTCAGGTTATGATGACCCCATTCAAACAAACAACCTTTAGAGTTGCTAACAATCTTACATCTTTGCCTTGGAAATCAATAGATTTTCAAGTTAGCAAAAAAAAAAAATAAATAGATTAATAAATAAATAAACAAAACCTTTCCATTTATGTATAATATGTCAAAATACATTCTACTGTCATGTATCTCCAGAAAGAACAATGACAACAAAAGACCTAGTCCGGTCATTGGACAAAAAACAAAACAAAACAAAACAAAATTCACGTGTGTGTGTGTGTGTGTGTGTGTGTGTGTGTGTGTGTTTCTGGGAATTGAACCCAGAGGTGCTCTACCTCTGAGCTAAATAAAGGCAATGGAATTTTATTCAGTACTAAAAGAAAATGAGCTATCAAGCCGTAAAGAGACAAGGAGGAAACTTAAATACATATTACAAGGTGAAAGAAGCCAATCTGAAAAAGCTACATATTACATTGTTTCAACAATATGACATTCTGGAAAAGGCAGAACTATGCAGACAGTAAGTAAAAAGATTAGCAGTTTTCAGGGATTAATGGAGAGGGAAGAAGTATGAACAGGTGGAACACAGAGGATTTTTAGGAAAGTGAAACTATTTTTTTTCAGCACTGGGGATTAAATCCAGGGACACTCTCCCACTGAGCAATATCCTGAGCCCTTTTTACTTTTTTTTAAGTTGCTGAGGCTTCCTTGAATTTGTGATCCTCTTGCTTCAACCTCCCAAATTGCTGGGAGTATAGGCAGTGAAATTATTTCTGCATGGTAAATAATAGTAATTATGTAATATGTATTCAGAACCTTAAACTTCATGTTTTGACCAAGTGATTCCAATTTTGGAATTCTTTTTTTTAATATTGATTTTTTTAGTTGTAGTTGGACACAATACCTTTATTTTATTTATTTATTTTTATGTGTTGCTGAGGATTGAACCCAGGGCCTCACATGTGCTTGGGCAAGTGCTCTACCACTAAGCCACAACCCCAGCCCTTGGAATTCTTTTATACAAAAAGTAGTGAGGAATAGAGGAAGGAAAAAATTATGTTTACTGCAACATTATTCATAATAGAAAAACTTAGAAACCAGCTAAATGTTGAACTGCATGAAAATTATTATTTAATTAGGATACATTCATATGATGGAATATCATGCATCTATCAAAAATGATGTCCAAGGAAATGTTGAATAGTGTGGAAATGCTCAAATTAAAATAAATGGGAAAATACAAGAAAAATTTAAAAACACACACAAAAAATACAAATTGTATATATCTGAACTATGTGAAACTTGCATAGAAAAATGATGATAAAGAGATAAACCAAAATGATAGAATTGTTTTTGGATGGTAGGATGATAGGTAATTATTTATTTCCTTCTTTCTCTCCTCCTTCTCTTCACAGTGCTCACCTCCGCCCCTCAGAGATGTCTTTTTCCCCATGTACTTTAATCAATGTTTGTCTCTTTTTATATACATAAATATATACACTTAAAATTTTAAGAAATCATGTAGAAAAACTCATATATATTTATATTTACCTTTATATATTTCATTGTAACAAGAAGAGAAAGAACTTGATTAAAAGATTGAAGTGGAATGGGACTGTGGCTCCGTGGTAAAGCACGCTTGTCTGTACGTGTAACACACTGGGTTAAAACCTCAGCACCACATAAAAATTTAAAAAATAAAATAAAGGTAGTGTATTCATTGACAACTTTTAAAAAATTAAAAAAAAAAAAATCTAAGTGCCAAACAGACCCAGGCTTGAATAACTTCCAGGCTACTTAACTTTCATCTTTGTAAAATGGCAGTGATTGTTTGTAACTCGTTGGAACGATATGGTCATGCAGGTAAAGTCCTTGACATAGTTCTTGGTGCATATTATACGTTTAATAGCTGTTATTTTGATCGTTTCAGTTATATACTATTTACAGGCGTTTACCTTTCTAGCTAAACAAGTTGACAGGAGACTGAATTACTGAAAGCATTTCTCAAGGAAAGGCTATGGTTGGGGACCTCTGGACATCTACATTTTCTCACACCTGTTGAAAATCCGTTTGCAAGCAGAGCGGCAGTCAGCCTTCAGACTGAATAGGAAACCTTCTTTAGGACTACTTTCGGTGCTAGTGTCTGAGTATTTCCCGTAAGGAACACCGCCCAACTAGTTTCTACTTTTAGCTCAACCCGGCAAATTTCCTTAAATATCACAATGAATCCGGCCCCGCCCACATACCTGCACCGGGTTGGTCTACACGTTCCCGGGGTTAGTTCAACCCTTGAGAGTTTTCCGAGTTCATTGGCGGGGCAAATCGGAAATCCTTTGACTTTTCTGATTGGTCGCGCTTGCCACCGAGGTGGGGCACATGGGCGTGATTTGCCGGGACGCGGGGAGCTGTCATTGGACTATGAACCCGGCATTTCTAGAGCTTCGTGCCGTCGCCTAGGTCGCGGGGGTCGGACCTCCTCCCGCCCAAGCCCTTATTGTCCTTTGCATTGGTCAGACGTGTCGTCACTCACGGAACTTGGAGATCATTGGCGCAAGGGCTCCACAAAGCCGTGGATGATTGGTTGATTACTATTCCCGCCCCCAGCTAGTCGCCATTTTGCTGAGGGGAGCCGAAATCCTAAAGGTAACAGAGTCAGTAGGTGTGCCTGTATTGGTGCTGACTGAGGCGACCGGTGAGTCGTGGGATGGAGGGGGACAGCCGCTCTCAATACCTGGCTAGGTTTCCGACCCACGGCGGCCGAGAAACTGGACAACAGCGGTGGCCTGCCTGAAGGGGTTGTGGTCTGCTGTTCCTTCCCCGCCCTCTGTAGGGCCAGGCAGCCGGAACCCAGAGACGCCGGGCTGGCTTCGTCGCGTAGCCCTCTTGCTTTCCCAAGGGCCCATAGATTGAGAGGCAGCGGCCTGGCGGCCGGGGCAAAAACAAGACACGGCTGCCTTACCCGGCCCCACGCCCCCGGCCGCTGTTCAATCTCACCTTGGCCATGGCTCTCGCTCATGCCCTTGAGGTCTTGCCGTCGTTTCTCCCCCGTGGTCATTTGCTGCTTGTGTCGAGGGAGGGTGAGCATGCCTAAGAGGCTCTGTGGTTGACGATGTCTTATTTTAGAGGGTCTCCAGCGGAGCCTGGGTGTCTGGGACCTCGCGCATAGGAGTAGGAAGGCGAGGGAAGAGAAGCAATGGGGGAAAACCGGGAGGATTGCAGTGTAGGGTTGGGCAGGGGTAATGTGACATTACCTGCCTCTAGGGACCTCTAACGGGAAGTACCTTACCTCCCACAGCGTGTTCCTTACAGTTTTCCTGTCTGTGGGACTTGTCCTTATGTCGGAAACCAGGGAAAGGGATCACTAGTTTTGTTGACCAACAGATTCTGAATGTTTCAGTCACTGGACTGTTTTATTTTAGACCTGTAATAAACCTTTTATAAATGATTAAAGCAGTCATTCTTTGGTCACTGTTCCTCATTTGTGTACAGGAGAAATGCCATATTCGCTTTCTCCCCTAGAATGTAATGGTGTGTACTTGGACATAATCCATGATGTTAAGCTATTGTAGGAAACTTGAATTTCAGAGGTGGTGCCTCTGGAATTTAGTGACTTCCCCTCTGAGGTCGCTGGTGTCTGGATGAATAGGAGTGGCTGACCTGACCTTATTGCATCTTTTTCTCCCTCCCCTTAGTAAAGCTTTCTTTGGTTAGCAATTTAAAAGGAAAATCATACACTCTGGAACAAGGATGTATGTCGTTTGTCTTTTTGAACAGCCTTTATCGACTTCCAAGAGCTTAGTTAGAAGTGTAAAAAATGTACTATACTACTTTTTGTGGGGGTGGGGTGGGTACTGGGGATTGGACCCAGGGGCGCTTAACCACTGAGCCACATCCACAGTCCCTTTTTATATATTATTTAGAGAAAGCCTCACTGAGTTGCTTAGGCTGCCTTTGAACTTGGATCCTCTGTTCTGTGGAGCGGCTGTTCTGTGTGCAACTGCGCCCAGCTTTTTAAGTCCTTCATTGGAATATCAGGCTGATGATTCAAATAGGTTGATCTATTAAAAGAATAAAGAGTGTAAATTTCTGCAAAGCTAGCCTGACTTTGCTATTGCTTTTACTTTATATATCCTGCCAGGTGCTTTGCTGAAAAATAAAATATTGAATATTTATGCTGTTAGAAGTCAATTTAGTAATTAACTTTTGGGGAGTAATGGAAGGGTAGAACACAAGGAGAATCTGTACTGGTAATCATCTTTTTTTGATCTGGTAACATAGGTGAGTTTGGTTCATGAAAATTCATTGAATTTACAGTAATCTGTAAGTAAATTATACTAAAATAAAAAGTTTTAAAAACTGGTGAGGGTTACCCCATAGAATATTGGATACTACCATTACTCCTCAACTCTGTCTAGTTAATTTTTCTCTTGGGAATGCAGTATCAAGTGATGGATTTCATCAACTCAGAAATTTCTTTTGGTTCTTTTCTGGGTACTGGTATTGTGTGTTAGCCAAAGGCAGCTGCAGTTTCCAAGAAATTGTTATTTACCTGCCTTAAGGACTTAGCTTTATATTGTATAAAATAGCCAGGTATACCAATAATTCCAGGCTGAGGCAGAAGGATCACAATTCAAGGTCAGCCATGGCAATTTAACAAGACCCTGTGGCAACATAAAAATAAAAAGGACTGGGGATGTAGGTCAGTGGTAGAGTACCCCTGAGTTCCATCCCTAATACCACACACACACACACACACACACACACACACACACAGTTCCATGTTATATAAAATAAACAGATTCTCGGCTTCCTAAATTCTCATTTCAAGAGAGTTTAGAACAAGGTATAGATGTGTATGATGTGACATTGCTTTCAAACTTAAGACAACTAAAGGTTACCACAATAGTATAGCATTGAGGCTGTGTTTCTACATATCCCACTTGGAAGCTTCTGTGGAAAATAGAATTTTCTGGCAAGGCATCAAAAGGCTTAGTTGAGTTTCTCTTTGAAAATGAGATACACTATTCCTTATTGGCCAAACTGTATTTAACATTCTTTAAGTTTACTAGGAGCTGCCTCTAAATGCAACCTAGAGTTTATGTATTTTGCTTTTATATCTCAGCAAAGAATAATTATTTGACTTGTTTTTCTTTTCTTTCAGTTACAGAATTAAATTACAATGGGGAATGTTTTTGAAAAGCTGTTTAAAAGTCTATTTGGGAAAAAAGAGATGCGGATTCTTATGGTGGGTTTGGATGCAGCCGGAAAAACCACCATCTTGTATAAATTGAAGTTGGGAGAGATTGTGACTACCATCCCTACAATAGGTATGTGAACAAATGTGGGGAATTCCAATTTACAAGTTTACAATATCGTATATAATACTTTAACACGCTTCTTATATTATTGAATATTTTGTTTTGGAAATCTTTTCTGCTCCAAGAGCATAAACAACTTCTTCTTTTTTTTTTGGTACTGAGAATTGAATCTGGGAGCACTCTACCACTGAGCTATATCCCCAGTCCTTTTTATTTTTATTTTGAGACAGGATCTCGATAAGTTGATGAGGTTGGCCTTGAACTTGCGATCCTCCTATCTTAGTGTACAGAGTTGCTGGGTTGCTGGGATTATAGGCATGGATCACTGCACCTAGCCAAGAGCATAAACTTTTTGAGGCCCCAAACCAGGTTATATATATTTTTCCCAGTCGCTCTTCAGAGTCTTTAGAACATTCCTAGGTTTATAGGAGAATCATATGAACATATTTAGGCTAAGCAAATCTAGCCCTATCTGCTTGGCAAAGAAGAAAAGGATAGTAATAATTAAAACAGCGAGGAGAGTTCTGCCGTTTCTCTCAGTGTGGGTCCCAGCATAAACCTGAGATGAGAGCTGGGCATCTGCTGCTGCCTCCTCAGTCAGCCTCCATTCCAGCTGGCCTCTCTCAGTGCCTCTCTCTTCCCACTAAGTGCCTCCTAGTGTTTAAATGGAGTGTGATTTCTTCTCTTCACTCTGGCTCAAGCCAACTACTCGAGATAGTGTCCAAGTAAGACAGTTGACAATCTGGTGTGTTGGTCTTACTGTGGATGAGCACTGATTTTATGGGCTCTTTAAGGGATTTGCTAAGACAGTTTTGACAGAACTTAATCTTTGTCTTGTGAACTGCCTGGAGAACCAGACTCCTGAGTAAGGATACACTCCACAGGACAACATGTGAATGTTAGCACTGGACTGGGCCAGGACCCAAATGATCCACTTTTCCATTAGGCAATAGCTTCAGAGATTGCAACATTGGAAGAAGACAGAAACTGATGAGAATGTTCATATACACGATTTGAAAAATACATTAATCTTAAATGAAAATAGCATGATTACTTAACTTTCTCCGATTATAAAAAAATAGTTTCATACGTACAAAAAAATAGACAGATTTTGAAAAATGTTCAATTAAGATTTTTGTAAAATCGTATGCATGCTATTTTCCCCACTTACTTTGCATTAGATAATACATTTGATCCACTTTCTGTTATTTCTTCCCTAAAGGACTTTCCTGACTTCTTTCTTCCCCTTTCCTCCCTTTACATGGTAAGCATCATTTACCACTGGTGAATGAGTTCAATACTGATGTTGTGGTAGATTGTTAAACTAATGGCCCCAGTAAATCATGACCCTCAGCATCTGAGCTCTTGAGCAGTCTCCTTCCTCAGTGATACTGAACTTGGCCACATGACTTGCTTTAGTCAGTGAGACATTGGCAAATATAATTAAAGCAGAGACTTGATAAATGCTTATGTAGTGGAACTTGCCTTCACTGAAAACTACCACCGTCATCAGTTGAGGAAAGCTGCTTGCTCTTTGAGGATGAGCCGGGTGTGGTGGCACACGCCTGTAATCCCAGTGGTTCGTGAGGCTGAGGTGGGAGGATTGTGAGTTCAAAGCCAGTCAGCAGTTTAACAAGGCCCTAAGCAATTTTTTGAGATCTTGTCTCTAAATAAAATAGAAAAATGGTTTGGGGATATGACTCGGTGGTTAAGTGTCCCTGGATTCAATCCCTAGTATAAAAAAAAAAAAAGACCACTGTGAAACAGACCCAGCACCCTTCTGGCTTATTAGCTAAAAGTGGCTTGGGAAAAAGCCTAAGTAACCCAGAGAAGTGTCTCTGATAAATAATGCTTACATTGAGACCAAAAGAATGAGCTGATGTTCACTAGATAAAGCAAGCAGGGACTAAGGAAGATGTTGATACAGATCAATGTCAAGTTTTAATAACTGATTAGTATTTCATTATATGGCTATATTTTTAACTAATTTCCATTGATGGCTAGTTGGGTTATTTGCCATTGTTTTTTTGTAAGGATGCCAAAGTAAACATATTTCAAATTTTTATTTCCATGCAGTGATTCTGGAGGTGGATTTGCTAATATAACAATGTCTATTTTAAATTTGTACACAGATTGCCAGACTATTCTCTAAAAAAATTGCATCTCCTTTTTAATGCTAATTTCTCCTGGAAATTTGTCAATCTCATAAAGGATAAAACCACTTATATTAGGATGTCTTTTTTGAGGGGGACGGTTTACTATGGATTAAACCCAAGGAGGCTTTACCACTGAGCTACATCCCCAGCTATTTTTATTTTTTGTTAAGACAGACAGGGTCTTGCTACATTGCTTAGGTCTGTGCTGAGTTGCTGAGGCTGGCCTCAAACTTGAGATTCTCCTTCCTCAGCTTCCTGAGCATATGGGATTACAGGTTTGTGCCACCACACCTGGCTAGGATATCTTTTATGATAAGTGAATATATTCAAATATACATTGGTTTTCTGTAACTTGTTTTTGATACTGTTCATTTATTTTTTTGTTGGAATGTTTGTCTTTTAATGATTTGAAAAGACAAACTGACTCATGAACTCTTGTCATGTTCATTTTCCAGTTAGTGGTTTGTCATTCAACTTCGATTTTTTCTGTATTTTGCTATAGGTAAATTTTAAATTATTAGATAACCAAATTTACTAATTTTTCCTTATTCAGTTTTGATAATTTTCTTAATTTTTTTGGTTTTAGGCATTGAACCCAGGAGCATTTTATTTTTTTATTTTTATTTTTTAAAGAGAGAGAGAATTTTTTAATATTTTTCAGTTATCGGCGGACACAACATCTTTGTTTGTATGTGGTGCTGAGGATCGAACCTGGGCCGCACGCATGCCAGTAGCCACATCCCCAGCCCCCCCAGGAGCATTTTATCACTGACCCAGCCCTTTATTTTATTTTGAGACAGGTCTCACTAAATTACTGGGGCTGCCCTTGAACTTTCTATCCTCCTGCCTCAGTCTTCTGAATGGCTGAAATAAGAGGTGTGTGCCACTGTGCTGGCTAGTTTTGATCATATTTTTAGAAAGGTCTTACCCACTTTGAGATCATAAAAGTATTCACCAATATTTTCTTCTGCATTTATGTTGTTATTATAAGCAAGGTGGGTATTTGATTATAATTTTCAAGTGGGTAGACTAGTGCTGCCCAGTTGCTCTTTCTGTAATGATAGAAATGTTCTGTGTGTGCTGTCCGTTGTGTTGATTAGTAGCCACAAGTGGCTGTTGGGTACTTGAAATGTGGCTCATGCAATTGAGGAGCTGTGCTTTTAATTGTATTTAAATAAATGAATTAGCCACACATGACTGGTGGCTATGGATTAGACTTTGCAGAGGTAGACAGTTACCCAGTGCCATTTATTGAATAAGTTTTCCATGCTGATTTTAATGTCCTATCACATACTAAATTCTCACTGGTATGTGTCTTTTTCTCGACCACTTCCTGTTGTGGTCATTGAATTCTATTCAGGTATTACTAGGATTTGGTAATATCTTTAAGAATCATTCATTATTTTCAGAAATTTCCTGGCCAGATTCACTTATTTATTCAGGTTGCCAGGTAATTTTGGCAAGTTTTCTGCAAATTTACCTACTTGCCCTCTGTAGGATTGGAATGGCATTAAACATATATTTATTGGGGCTAGGGATGTGGCTCAAGCGTTAACGAGCTTGCCTGGCATGCGCGGGGTGCTGGGTTCAATCCTCAGCACTACATAAAAATAAAGATGTTGTGTCCACTAAAAGCTGAAAAATAAATATTAAAAAATTTTCTCTCTCTTTCCCCTCCCTTCCTCCCCCCTCCCTCCTCCTCCTCTTCCTCCTCCTTCTTCTCTCTCTCTCTCTCTCTTTAAAAAAAACAATCAAACATATATTTATTCAGCAAGAATTTAGCTTGTTGCAGTGTAATGAGTGTATCTCACTAAACAAGGCATGACCAAGGTGAGACTAGAGTGTGAGCAGGTCCACTGTGTCCACTGTCGCTGTGGGCCTCAGTAGTCAAGTTTGGGGTTCAGGATATGGGACGCCAAGGAGAGATTATTATTGTTGTTGTTATTATTTTTTCTGGTACCAGTGATTGAACCCAGGCCTTCACACATGCTAGGCAAGTGCTCTGCCACTGAGCTACATCCCTAGCCCTTTATTTTGAGACAGGGTCTCATTAAGTTGCCCAGCTAGGCTTGAACTTGTATTCTTCCTGTCATAGCCTCCCAAGTAGCTGGAATTATAGGTAGGTACCACTTTGCCTGCAGAGATATCCTTTCTTTCTTTTTTTTTTTTTTTAATTTAAAATATTTCAATCAAACAAATGTGTAAAAAATAATGCACATTATGTCCACATTTTGTGTTTTTCTTTCTTTCCCTCTCCCCTTGGTACTGGGGATTGAACCCAGTGGTACTTTACCACTGACTTAAGTCCCTATCCCTTTTTGACATTTTATTTTAAGACAGGGACTTGATAAATTCCTGAGGCTGACTTCAAACTTGTGATCCTCCTACTGCAGCCTCCTGAGTCACTGGAATTACTGGTGTGCGCCACCATGCCTGGCTCTACATTGTATTTTTTTTTTTTAATTTTTACTTTGTAGTAGTGGATGGACCTTTATTTTATTTATTTATATGCCATGCTGAGAATCGAACCCAGTGCCTCATACGTGTTAGGCAAGTGCTCTACTTTTGAGCCTCAATTCCAGCCCCTACATTGTATGTTCTTAACAGTTGCTCTGATTGGGAAAATGGTGAATGGCTGGAGAGAAGAGTGTCTACAGGGAGATTAGTTAGATTGTTTCAGCAATTGAGGCTAGAAATGATGATTTCTTGGGTTAAGGTAACTATCAGATATTTAGGAAGTTGAATGGTAAGGTTTGGTAGTGGGATTTTGAGGGTGAGAGAGGGTTGGAAGTGTATGGGATGCCTCCCAGGTTTTCAGCTTGTGGAGCACAGTCAATGAGGAAATAACTGTAGAGGAATAGGTTGAAGGAGTAGGGAATCTTAAGTTCATTTTTGACAGATTGCTTTATTTTGGGACCTTGCAGACATCTAATTGAAAATGCTGATTATGAGCTTAGGACAGAGGTCTGGGCTGGAGGACATACAGTTGAGAATTGTTAGTACAACTGTTAGATTGCTTAGGGAGGGGTGTGGAAAGAGGAGAATGGATGTGGCAGGATGGACTTGTGGGAATCCATCATAAGGATCATTTGATGTGGATTTACTCATAAAAGAGGATGAGATGGTATAACTATGGAAATAGAAAATGGGAAGCCACAGTAAGAGTTTCAAGGAAAAGTAAGCAGTAGGGTCAGATATAAAATCAAATTACCTAAGAACTGAAAAGCATGTGTTTGATTTATTGAAATTAGGATTGTTGAGGACCCCCAGTGAGACTCAACATGGTGGAGCAGGTGCTCTTGGGATAGAAGTGACAAAGTAGGCTCGATAAATACAGCTGAACTCCGGGATGTAGCAAAGCATCCTGAATCAGAGATACTTGACTTTAAAAGTGCAAAGAGAAGCTGGGAGCAAGCCTGCAATTTCAGCAACTTGGGAGGCCAAGGCAGAAGGATCATTAGTTCAAAGCCAGCCTCAGCAATTTAGTGAGGCCTTAAGCAACTTAGTGAGACCCTATCTCAAAATAGGAGAATAAAAAGGGCTGGGGATGTGGCTCAGTTGTTAAGTGCCTCTTGGTTCAATCCCCAGTACCAAAAAGAAAAAATAAAGTGCAAAGAGAAGATGATAACAGGTGAATATGTAGAATCAAGGAAGGGATTTTTTAAAAAAAATTATTGATTGATTGATTGATTGTGGTACACAGGATCTAAACATGGTATGCTTCACCGCTGAGCTATGTCTATCCCCACCTTTTCCTTTTTTGAAACAGAGTCTCACTAAGTTGCCAAGGTTGTCCTCAAACTTGCAGTCCTGCCTCAGCCTCCTGAGTCACTGGGATTCTAGTTGTGGGCCACCATGCCTATCAGATTTTTTTTTTTTTCAGTGGGGGGAGATATAAAAGACTTAGGCATCCTGAGAACAAATAGGAGATATTTGGATAGGGGAAGAGAATAGCAATAGCAAAAGATCCTCCTCTGTTTGGGTGGATTGCATCTAGCACATAAGTAGAGGAATTTGCAATTAGATAGTTGCTTCTTTCCATTCTTCAAAGATGGAGGAAGAAAAGTGTTGCTGTAGGTGTAAGTTTTTACACTGTGTGGTGAGAAGTGGAAGTCAGTTCCACAGGTGACATCTCTTTGCTCTGAAATACACTGAAAAGTGTTCTGCTGAGAAAAAGGGGAGAAGGGGATTGGATTTTGGAAAGTCAAGAAGGTTTGAGACACAGGCATGATGAATGGCAGAGTGAACCAGCACATTCTCTTTTGTAAGCTATGGTCTTCACATAGCAAGCTGCTTTGTAAATTGAAAGTACTATCCAGGGCTGGAGTTGTGGCTCAGCGATGGAGCGCTTGCCTAGCACATGCAAGGCACTATTTGATCCTCAGCACCACATAAAAATTAATAAGTAAAATAAAAGTATTGTGTCCATCTACAACTAAAATATATAAATGTATTTTTTAAAAAGTACTGTCTAAATGTTAGTTGATATTTTGAATTGGTCAATTAACAGAAAATCATAACAGTTTTTCTATCTTCCCAATTTAGGTTTCAATGTGGAGACGGTAGAATATAAAAATATCAGCTTCACAGTCTGGGATGTTGGTGGCCAGGACAAAATCAGACCTTTGTGGCGACATTATTTCCAGAACACTCAAGGTAAAGTTTTGTATTGTATATATTCAATGTATCTAAGATGCTGGAAAAGATACCTGGTGGTGCTCAGCTTTATTTGGACTCTTAACTCATTTCCTCTTTTCTGCTAGCAGTACTTACTAGATTTTTTATTTTTTATTTTTTTGAGATGTGGTCCCTGTGTTCCTAGAGAACGAACTTGAGCTTTAACTCCTCTTAATTTGGAATGGCTAGAAAATAGTAATCCTGATGAATTTCATCTTTCAGTTCATTGAGAGTTATTTGTACCTTAAATGAATTTCCAGTCTCTGAAGAGTTTAAATTCAATTAACTCTCTTAAATCTGTTGAGATTATCTGAAAATCATCCCTCTAGAGAAAACGAGATGAACAAGGATGGCTGGAACCCAGAATCCTAAATCCTGGCCACAGTTCTTCCCTGCTGCCTTCCTGCTCTACACATACCTGAACAGGCATGAATATCCCAGATCATCACCTTATTGGAGTCTTAAAAGTAGAGATCTTAATGTACTCATCCATCAATCTAAATATATTACCAATATTTTGGATGAACAGTGCCTTACTGCATATTGCTTATTAAGTTGTAACTGTTCACATCGTTTTTACACCCTGATTCTCATGTAGAGTCTTCACCATATGTCATCTGCAGATTACTCATTTTAGAATTTACTTGGAGTATATTACTTTTGAAGATTCTGCTGCTGATGTGGTTTTCATTGCATGTGTTTGATTGACTTGAACTTGCCAATCTTTCCAGTCCAAACACCCAAGTCCACCTATCCCTTTATATTTTTCATCATTGTCTTAGAAGTTACCTTTGGACTTACTCTATTTGCAGTTATCTTCTCAGCCTATAGATTTTAGAATGTCTTAGAGGATGATGTAATGGACCCCATATACCCATGACTCAGCCTCTGCAGTTACCAACACTTTGCCCATCCCTGATATAGTGCCTTTTACTCACACATTCTGCAAGATTCATTTCTGATGAAGTCTTTTATTGTTTTGTTTTTAAACATAATCTATATTCAATTATTATACTTCCAAAATTAATGATGCTTTATCTCTAATACCAGTCTTTATTCAAATTTCCCTATTATCAAATGTAGCCTTTCTGATTTATTTGTTTGCATTTCATTGTTTTGTCACTTCAGTATCTTATTCTTACAACAATTCCCTCTCTCTCTTTCTTTTTCCTATGCTGGAAGTTTTGGTTTAATGCTTATTCCACATTGTGGTTCTGTCTAATTTGTTGTGGTGCCATTTGGCTTGTTTTTCTCTCTGTGGATCTGGTATAAACTGGTAGCATGTTATAGAGGCTTGATCTAGTGTTCAGTTCATTTTGGGGGGCAAAAATACTTAAGTATTTATCCTGTTATATCACACAGAATGTATATATTACAAGAAGTTTGATTACTGAACTTAAAAAAGTATTTTTTTTTTTCCATTTTAAAAAATGTTTTTGTAGCTAAGCACAGGGGCATACCTGTAAACCCAACTACTCAGGAGGTGAGGCAGGAGAGTCACAGGTAATGCTGCTTTGATTCAGGTACAAGTATCTGTTTGATCCTTGTTTTCACTTCAATCCCCCCCACCCCCACCCCGGTACTGAAGATTGAACCCAGGAGCACTTTACCACTGACTAATATCTCTAGTCCTTTATATTTTTATTTAAAGACAGGGTCTCTCTAAATTTCTGGGAGGCTGGTTTTGAACTTGCCATCCTTCTCCCTCAGCCTCCTAAGTAACTGGGATTATACCAGCTTGTTTCATTTATTTTGGGTATATGCTTAGGAGTGAAATTGCCAGGTAACTGTTTTTGTTTTCTGTTTTTTGTTGTGGTGGTGATGGTAGTGGTAGTAAAACACATAAACTTTACCATCTTGATCACTTTTTTAGGGGAACTAGAGATTGAACCCAGAGGTGCTTTATCATGAGCCATATCCCCAGGGGGCCACATCCCCTTAAAAATTTTTTTTTTTTTTTTAATTTTGAAACAGTCTCAATAAGTGTCCGAGGCTGGCTTTGAACTTGCCATCCTCCTGCCTTAGTCTCCAGAGCCATTGGGATTACAGGTGTGTGCCACCATGCTTGGCTTAATCACTTTTAAGTGTACAGTTCTGTGGAATCAAATATACTTCATAATATTGTATAATCATGATAATCATCTATCTTTATTACTCTTTTCATCTTGTAAAACTGGAATTCTGTATCCATTAAACATAACTCCCTATCCTCCCTTCTACCTAGCCCCTGGGGACTACCAAGTTTTCACACTTTCAGTAATGCCAGATGGGTTCATATGGCTTCAGCCTACTTCCCTCAAAATAAATTTCCCATCAACCTTTCGCCTCATGATTTTAGCTTCCATTGAAGGCTGTTGTGTAGATCTGTTAATTCATTAGGAGTTACAAAATGGCAATTTCTCTAAATCCTGTTATTCCTTCTTGAACTTATTAGCCCTAATCTTTCTAAACAAAGAATTCCCTCATTGAAGATTTGGTTTCCCTGAAAATAGTTTGTTCAAGGAAGGCAGGATAAATGCTTCATTCTTTTATTGATTCTTTTTTCTTTTTCCTTTTTAGAGAAACCACTTGATAACCCCAGTGACTTCCCTGGTGAGGCTTAGATTTTTTTATATTTTGTGTTTCAGTCTGTTGTAGATTTTTTTTTTTTTTTGATAACTCAAGAGTATCCGTTTATCTTGGACTGACACTTCCCAGTTTGGCTAAACCTTTGCAGTTTCTCATCTGAATTAAAACCAGAATACTTGGATTTGAACCACAGACAGCTCTATGAACCTTGAGAAACTTAGCTGATCTCTTCTCTCTCCTTTTCCTTATCTTCAAATGGAGACACCTGCATCACTGGGCTGAAAGGAGATTAATTTTATAAAATGTTTAGTTCTGTGGCTGAGGTAGCAGGCACTCACATTGAAAGCCCAAATTGTTTGAGGCTTTACTTTGTCATTCTCTGGCAAGATTCTTTTTTTTCCTACCCTGCTCAGGTTTTCACATTCAAACACCACATTGAAGTTCCTTTTTTTCTTCAGTCTTCTGTTTATAACAAGCCTAATTTTACTGAATTTCAGTCACTATTGCTTTGATGGCAGAGGGCTGGCTTTTTTCTAGGTTCTTATTTGGGTGGGCAATTTGGGCTCTTCATGAAATAGTAAATGGGACCAGTTTGAAGAATGGCTTTGTTGTCTCTGGCTGGGCCACATGTCTCAACCATGAGTAGTTTTGGATGCTGCCCTTGTTCTTTCTGCCAACTTTCCAAAAGTCAGGCCATCTTTTAAATTTTCTGTATCAGTGTGTCAAGTGTGACAATTCAATGCATGCTTTTAGCACTCTATTAAGACATTTTATTGTGTGTTTATTACCTGCATAGATTGGAATTTGTTTATGCAGTTTCTTAATGGATATGTTTTATTTTTGTTAGGAATGGCAAAGGGATAACATGTCAGCTTTTGCTCTGTCAACGTGGTATAGAATGCATAAAGTGGTCCATTCACATGTGGAAGGTTTTTTTTTTTTTAATCCTTGATTATAGGTCCAGTTATTTTAATTTGTTGAATGACAATACATTTATATGGTTTAAAATTCAAAAATAAGGAAAAGGGTATACAGAAAAAAATCACCATTTTATTCCTCAGTTTCTCTCCATATATAACCACTGTATATTTGTCTAGACATATTTAATGTTTTTACAAGTGTGTGTGTGTACACGCACGTATGTATGTATACACTCATGCTTTTAAAAACAGTATGCTACTCATGTACAAATGTATTTTGTCTAGATTCTCTTAGATCAGAAGTGTAGTCAGATAATGCTAGATGCTAATTCTTAGGTAAGGGCCTATGTTAAAACAGTATAAAATAGGATCTAGTATTAAGAAGTTTTATTTTTGGTAGGAATGGTAAAGGGATAACATGTCAGCTTCTGCTCTGTCAGTTTTGCATTAAAGACTAAGAATCTTCTTGGCTTGTTATGATTAAGAGTCCAGAATTGCTGGTAACATATCAAACATTTGGAAGAGTTTTGAATGTTTTGCTTTCTCATTGTTAGCCTGATGTGACGTAATTGTGTGAATTTTAACTCACATGCAGAGGTGTGGGCACTCGTACCTGCCCCCCAGGTGAGTCAGGCAGCTATCGGGTGGGTGTGGGACACACAGAGGCCGGGGTGGAGGGGCATCCCTGGTTTCTCTCCTAGACAATTGTGAAATCTCACTGACGGGGGGAACCAAGAAGTCAACTTGTCCCACTCCCCTTCAGCAGTGTCCCCAGGAGTTGGGCCTTAAGCTGGGTATAAATATCCCTGTGGCAGGAGAGCCTTCTGACACAGCCTGTGACATCTGCAGCGCTGCTGATCCTGTAATGCTAACTTGCTGTAGGTTTTACTACCGGTTTTCAGTTTCCTTATAGAGCAACATGAAATACATTGAACCTTTTTATGCCACAGCCCTTCAGATGCTCAAAGACTACGCTCAACCCCTTACTGAGTCTTTTTCTCTAGGTGATATCTTCCCTGTTATCAGTTATTTTTTATATGACCTGGTATCTGAATGTCTTGACTGTCCTGGTCGTTCTTAGAGTTCCTCCAGCTTGCTGGTGTCTTAGAGTACAGGGTCCAACGCTGCCCTTGTAGTGTTCCCAGGGCAGTCCGGCTAAGGTACCTGAAAGTCCGCTCATTATCACCAGTGCTCCAGAACCTGAACTGGGACAAGTTAGTGCTTTGAAATGGCTCATTTCAAATAGCTCACTGTCAGACAAACACCAAGTTTTTGTTACTTTCACATCGATGACTGCTGAGTCTTCTCTATCCTGTACCTGGATGGCGTGTCACATGCCTCCTGTGCACCTTCTCTGCAGATTCTTTTGGCTCTGCTTCTTCCTGTCTCTGGTGTAGCAGAAACTGGGTTTGTGCAGGTTTCAGCCACCTTTATGCAGGCATGATATGGTGGTACCTTCATTTAGCCTGCTCCAGGTATCTCACTTCCTGGGATTTCTCTTAATGTTATGGTATGAGCTGCAAAGACTTCTCACTATCCATCATCCAGAGTTGGGCCACATTTCTCATATTAATATCACAGTCTTACATAAGATTTCCTCACCAGCTATAGCAGGTTCAGGGTTCCCAAACTACCCTCACTTCTAACTAGATGGCTGCAAATTTTGCTGTTTCCTACCATCCCTACGGATTTGATAATTTGTTAGAATGACTTACAGAACTCCTGAAAACACTGTACTTAAATTGACTTGATTATGGCAAAGGATACAGATGAACCAATTAAAAGGAGAGAGACAGACCTGGGAGGGTACCAGACACAAAGCTGCCATTGTCCAGTCCCCATGGTTCAGAATATGTTACCTTTCAGCACATTGATGTGTGACAGTATACAGATGGCCAACCAGGGAAGGTTACCTGAGCTTTCATGTACATTGTTTTTTTTGTTTTGTTTTGTTTTTTTGTTTGTTTGTTTTTAATCAAGGCTTCATTGCAGAGGCAGGATTGATTGAATCATTGGCCAGGTGAGTCCAACCCTGTGCACCCTTTCCCAGGTGATCTTTTTTTTTTTTAACTACCTCAGGCCTACCATGAATCACCTCATTAGCATAGCTCATCAGGTGTGGGCCCACCATGATGACAGATACTTCTCTCACTCTGAAAATTCTGGAGACAAAGATCAGCCAATTTTTTTTTGTACAGATGCCCATGGAAATCTCTTGACCTAGGGAGTGTGACCCAGAAATGTGAATGGCTTAACACCCTGTGGAGTTCCTCTTGACCACTGGGGGATGAGTAGAGAAGAAGAGCAACCCTGGGTGGACAGTTCTGAGAGTCTTTTCATATGACTTCTTAGAATGTCCAACAGTATCAAGCACTGGTCACATAGAAGTAGCCAAAGGGATGACTCGTCCTTTATCTATCTATCTATCTATCTATCTATCTATCTATCTATCTATCTATAGTTGTAGATGGACAAATACCTTTACTTTGTTTATTTATTTTTATGTGGTGCTGAGGATTGAACCCAGTGACTCACACACTTGAGACAAGTACACTACTGCTGAGCCACAACCTAGCCCTGTTATGGCGACTCCTCTGTATAGTGGCTGTTGCCCCTTCTCTGGTTTGCTTCCTGCATCCCCTACTCTTGCTCCCTGGGATAATGTCCCAGAGAAAACACCTGTTCCTGGGCCCTGGCCTCAAGCTTTGCTTTTTGAGAACCAGCCCCAGAACACTATTTTATTAAACTTTAAATATTTTTCAAAATCCTTTTTTTCTCTGATATAGAAATTAAGTTACTAAGAAACAAGCCTAATCTTTTCTCTGTGTCGTCTTGTTATGGTTAGTCTGGTGAAGAGCTGTAATACTTTTGGAAAAGATACGTGAGGTGAGTTGTGTGGCAGCTTCCTAACTCTGGAGATCACCTGTCCCTTCATAGTGATTGCTTTTGGTGAAACTGCACACACAGGCAGAGAGAAGAAACTCTAAGGATATAAAAACAGCTTCTCTCTCAGATTCATGTTACTAACATGCTTGTAATTTCTTTTCAGGTCTGATTTTTGTGGTTGACAGTAATGACAGAGAGAGGGTCAATGAGGCCCGGGAAGAACTAACCAGAATGTTAGCGGAAGATGAACTCAGAGATGCAGTTTTATTGGTGTTTGTAAATAAACAGGTATCTTGTTGGTTTTCTGAATACTGAATTCAGAAAATTTACTGTCATTTACAGAAATTTACTGTCAGAGCTCTCACCTAAATATCTAGATATTTAAATTAGAGATCTGCCTCCCTCTTTCCAGTCTTAACCATAACCTTTTCCACCATCCCTTTTTTTGCAATGCGATGTATTCAATCATTCATTCTGTAAATAGCGGATTGAGCATCTACTAAGTTCCCCATTTTATTTTAGGTATTGGGTAAATGTGTGGCAATGAGCCACACAGACAAAAATTCTCTGTCATGGAGTTTACATTCTATGGGAAGAGATGCAGTCAGTAAATGATCTGTGATACCTTGGGGGGAATTGTGGAAGCGACATTCTAAGCCAAGAGGAAGGGAGCCACATGGTTCTAGGAGCAGATGAGTCGGGGAAACAGAGGAGAGATTGGACCCTATAGGGCCTGAGATTGAGGAGGAAAGCGCTGGTACATAAATGTAAAGCAGTAAAAGAAGAGCACTGGGCTGAACCCAGCATGAAGGACCAGTCCCATGGAACTGTGCCAGCCTGAGGTGACCACTGTAAACAGGCAGTGTTGGTAATGTAATTGGTTTCATGCTATTCTTACGATGTTGCTGCCTATTTTGTCCCTTTTTTGGGGGGTCCTGTGACGGCTCCTCTGACCTAAGGGTCTGCAGAAAGAGAGCGAGCGTGTCCTGAACCATTTTATTGCAGAGAAACCATTCAAATGAGGCAAGGGGTCAGTTTCAGGGGGTTGAGTCTAGCTTCTTGATGTCTGCTGTCAGCAGGTTAACTGGCATCTAGGAAGGCCACACCCAAAGGCGGAGCAAGAGAAGGGGACATGCAAAGGGTGTTTCCATGGAACATTCTATCCCAAACAGGGCAAAGGGGTAATATCACAAAGGAACAGGTGAGCGTAGCTCAATCCATGGGGCGACACGCATCCTCAAACTTCCAGGACCAGGGTATTGTCCATATCATTACAAGATGTAGTGAGGGTCAAAACCTCGCCAGGATGGAGAATGGCCTCCCACACATACCTTTGAGGTCCTTCCATTGCCAGTTTGTGTAGATAATCTTTGTTCTTCAGTGCTAATATAGTCAAATTTAATTTGAGCTTACTGTGTGCCAGGCATGGTTTTAGGCTCTTGGAATACACCAGGGAACAAGACAGAGTTTTCTGCCCTTGTAATACTTTAATTAGGGGAGACAGATAATGCATAGTAAACATATGAAATAAGTAACTTTTATAATATGGTCATGGAACGTGCCAATTAGAGGTCACAGGGTCTTGGGTCCCACTCTAAGAACTCTGGCTCTTTCTTTGAGAGAGAGTTAGTAAGACTTATGATCGGATGATGCTATCTGGCTTTCACTAGCTAGGTTGAGAACAGGCTTTACAGAGCAAAAGCAGAAGCAGGGAGACCAGTTGGAAAGTCATTTCAGTAGCCAGTGAGAAACTGGTGGGATCAGACTGGGAAGTAGTGAGAAGTAGTCAGATTCTGCAGATAATTGGTGTGGACTCAAGAGGGGAAAAAAGTTAAAGATGATTTTTAAGGTTTTTGGCCTGAGAAACTAAGAGAAGACTGGTTTGGGGAACATTTCAGGAAGAAGAGCACATTTTGTTGTATGGATACAAAAATAATAAACGGACTTTTGCATTTTCTTTTTCTAGGACCTTCCCAATGCTATGAATGCAGCAGAGATAACGGACAAGCTCGGCTTACATTCCCTCCGCCAGAGAAACTGGTACATTCAGGCTACTTGTGCTACCAGTGGAGATGGGCTTTATGAAGGCCTGGACTGGCTCTCCAACCAGCTCAAAAACCAGAAGTGACCCGAAGCAGTCCATCCCCTGTGCATTGTGGCAAAGCCAGCTGGCCTCCTCTGGGTGCATGTGCACTGTGAGGAGCCTTGGTGGCTGTGTGGCTGGGAGTGGGGGCAGCTTTCTCACACCGTGCCTTATACACGCTATAAGAAAATCAGTATTATGTTTTAAGAAAACCAGTGTTACGTTTTAAACGCTACTTTCCATTTCAATAGCTTCGATGACCATTTTTGCAGTTGATGGAGGAGTCCTGAGGGCTCCCTGGTGCACAATAGACAGAGTGATCTTGAGGGTGGAAAGGGGAGCTGGAGAGGAGTAGAGACAGGTCCAGTTACAGCCCTGGGTCTGGCATCTCTGCATTCCTGGAGTCCTGTTAGACTTGGGTGTCATTTGTAAGAAGGAAGGAAGGAAATGCCATTTTTTCCCATTACTGCCAAAATTTGAGTGCTTTAAAGCAAATGATCCTCAAAAGAAAAGGTACTTACCATAGTGTGAAGAGGCTCTGATTGGAACGTTGCTCCTAAGTTCTACTTTGGCCCAGACTTTCTGATTTTAACATGCTTTAGTTAAAGAAATCAGTGGTTTCTTTGAGTGCCAAGATTCTGTAACTCTAGGATATTCTCCAGTCCTTTCCTTAGGCTAGTCCTCCCATTACTTGCCAAATGGAGACTGTTGGGGTTAGCCCGGTGTGAGGCCAAGGCTCTTTCCTGGAGCCTCACAGTCCCTGGTGGAGCAAGGACTCTGCAGGGGAGGGAGGGTGAGGTTGGTTTGTGTTCTGGTGTTACTGCCTCAGGTTGTAGGCCCTGAGGCTGCTGCTCCCACTTCTCTTCTGTGTGCTGAATGTTCTACACAAAGCAGGGGGTTCACTCCTGTGTGGAGCTATCCATGCCTCACTGTCTTAGTCCACCTTTAGGATGTTGGTTAGTTTCTATTCCCAGAATCTCACACCTGTGAGTTGTGAGAAAGTCAAAAGGTTAATCTTGGGGAGGTAGTTCCCTCACTGCCGCCCCTGGTATTGCCCCCAAGCTGGTGCTAAATCTTTTTTAAAAAACATCTCTTGTCTAGATGGCTCTCCCTGCTCTGACTCCTGCTCTGGATGGAGTAACATCTTAGGAACTGTTAGGAGACAGCTTTATGCTTTATGTTGCCTCCAAATATCAATAAGAATGAGACAAGCTAGGTTCACTCAGTCTTGAGGTCTTTTGCCCAAATAACTAACTGTTGGCCACATTTGTATCTGAGCACTTCGACCATCTAAGGTTTTAAAAATCCTTTTTCAAAAAAACCTTGATTGACATTATAGAGATGGGAGCGTAAAGTGAATCTTAACAAGAGTAAACCTTTGATAACAATGAAGTTATAATAGGAAAAAATTCCTGCCATGGTAAATGTGGGGCATAATGTTTTTCTTTAAAGAATGAATGCTCATTGCAATACTGGCAAAGCCAGATTTGATGTTTAACAGTAATTCCTGAGAAATATTTAGATTGTACGCCTGAAATGGCAGGGACTGTATCTCATACTTTTGTATTTATGCTTAGTCCAGTGTACTGGGTATGGTGCTAGGCCTCATTGAATACCTGTGGATTGGTTGGACAATAAAGAACTTGCTTTGGAAGGAGGAGAGGATGGATACAGACTTCTTGAATATAAAATCTCTTCCCCTGCCAATTTGGAAGGCACATGTACCACGGATCCCTGTGGAAGTACTGCCCCCACCCCAGGACTTAGTGGTCATTGGGACTCACACACTTTTCATTGCAGTCTCTCACACTGTGGCTTTGGAGCTGGGGAGTCAGGATAAAGGTAAGTGGAAGGGGGCATTTGAGTGTAGTGGTTTCACGCAAAGACCCAGGTCCCTGAAAGCCATGTTCCTATCCCTGCGATGTTGCTCACGAGTGCTCTTAGCCTCCATATTTTTGAGCCTCAGTTTATTTAACTGTGAACTTGGGATACTAATCCCTACCGCATGGGGTTGTGAGGACTGGCTGTTGCATGCCTTGGAATGCCTTGCTTTGCTCTTTTTCTGGAATATCTTGATGTTCGGTGCTGGTGCAAACTTATTTTTACAAGTGGCAGGAGTCTTACTTCATCTCTTTCCTGCTTTATCCATCTGCTTGATGGCACTGAAAGTTCTGTCCATTCTAACCATGCTAAGTGCTTAAAGATCAGTTGGGAACTTTATTTTTATTTATTAATTTTTTCAATTCTTATATTTTTTAAACTTTACTTATTTATGTTTATTGGTTGTTCAAAACATTACAAAGCTCTTGACATATCATATTTCATACATTAGATTCAAGTGGGTTATGAACTCCCATTTTTACCCCAAATACAGATTGCAGAATCACATCGGTTACACATCCACATTTTTACCTAATGCCATATTAGTAACTGTTGTATTCTGCTACCTTTCCTATCCTCTACTATCCCCCCTCCCCTCCCCTCCCATCTTCTCTCTCTACCCCCTCTACTGTAATTCATTTCTCTCCTTGTTTTTTTCCCATTCCCCTCACAACCTCTTATATGTAATTTTGTATAATAATGAGGGTCTCCTTCCATTTCCATGCAATTTCCCTTTTCTCTTCCATTACCAAATACCAAATGTCTCTGTTTAATGTTAATCTTTTCCTCCTGCTCTTCTCCCTGCTCTGTTCTTAGTTGCTCTCATCATATCAAAGAAGACATTTGGCATTTGTTTTTTAGGGATTGGCTAGCTTCACTTAGCATAATCTGCTCTAATGCCATCCATTTCCCTGCAAATTCCATGATTTTGTCATTTTTTAGTGCAGAGTAATACTCCATTGTGTATAAATGCCACATTTTTTTTTAATCCATCTATTGAAGGGCATCTGGGTTGGTTCAAAAAAAAAAAAGAAGATGGGAGTTAGAGAAGGGACATAAACCAGAAAGTGACCAGATACAGAAAGATGAAGGAGCATGTGGATTTAGGAGAGAGAACCCACCCAATCAGTTGTTGAGGCTGATCTTGAACTGGAGATCATCCTACCTCAGCCTCCTGAGTCACTGGGATTACAGGTGTGCCACCTTTTCTTTTTTCCTTTTTGTATAATTCTGTGGGTTTGAGTATCTTCACAGAGTACACAGTCATCACCAGTAACAGACTATTTCCATCACCACAGAAAGAATCCTTGTAACCACTGGTCTCAGCTCCCCCACCCTGAACTGCTAACTCTGAATCTGTTTCTCTAGATTTTATTTATCTGCGCACGTGAGGGGTCTGGGCAGCTGGTGGGTGCTATAAAAGTCCAGAAGTGCTATAAGCCTAGTCACAGCATCAGTCCTATGGCTACAGGGTAGCTGGTGACGCAGAGCCCCAGAGAGAAGCCCAGTAGTTCTGGCCATGGACTTGAGCCTGGAGAGGGGAAGGGGTACGTTACTAATTACAGTGTGAAGAGGGATGTGTGGTCACTATGAGAATGGAAGAGTTCTGAAACTGGAATCGGGCCCATAGAGCTCCCACCGTCCACCCTCCACCTGCTGGATTCAGCTGACCATTAAACCTCTGACCCTCGATTCTTCACCCAGAAGCAGAAGTTACCTGGCTTCTGGGGGTACAGCTCTGAATACCCAGAAGATGAGATTGTGTACAGTGGGGGCTCTGAGTCAATTCTATATGTCACAGAGCATGTAGTTTGATCTGTTGTAAATGCCATAAAAGTGCTATGGATATTTATACCTGGTACTGGGACAGAAAAGGTTTGTTGTTTAAGCTTTGAAGTTGGTTTCCTGTGTGACACTTTAAAGTGACCTAGGGTCTTTCACGTGTCTCAGGTAGAAGTAACTGAGTGGTACATAGAAAATCTAATAATATGCTACATTGAAGGGTTTTTTTTCCTTAGACATTTTTTTTTCTTTCCTGGGGAATGAACCCAGGGCCTTGTGCATGTGAGGCAAGCACTAACTGAGCTATATCCCCAGCCCCAAATTTTTTGATATTTATTTATTTTATTTTATTTTTTTTTTAAAGAGAGAGTGAGAGAGGGGGAC